AGCGCCCGAGCGCTAAGGCCACAACAGGCACCAGCTCATTGGCCTCGTCCCGACGGAAAGGTCGACCCAAGATCGGGCATTTCTTTCGAATCGCGTTGTAGAAGAACTAAGCTACTATCGGAATGTCGGCAGATTTCCGAGACGGCTCCAGCACCTCAAGGCAGTTCAGAGGGTCCCAAGGGCGGACAGGGAGGCGAAGAACCTTGGAGACGAGGGCGTTAAAAGGAATACAGCACCAGTGATGGTGGATGTGATCCTCCCCACCAGAGGAACGAGAACAGCCTAGTTCACAGCATGCATCGTCGGCGACCGACTTTTGGAATCGGCACTGGGTACGCCAATTCTTTGACACCGTGCGAAACCAAGCTGAGGCCAACGACGGCCTCAGCCTAGAGGCAACACGCTGCACCTCGTCTAAAGGTATCTGGGCGAGCCTGGGACCACACCCAGAGAACCAATCCGAAAGACGAGAGGCCAAGAGCCTACGGTGTGGGTCGGGTTGCAACGTTACAGAGAACGCTCTACTTAGATATCGCTGTATTATAGAGTTTATGTGTATGGTTATGCACAGCTCTCAGGCCCTTACAATCACTCAGGTGCTGTAGGAGACGGAAGTGAGGGGGGATGTTCGGGATGGCCACGCCTTGCATCTCTCATGTGTTGGCATATGGTTGGGGTGGCCCACTACTCTGGGGATAACAGATCATCGGCAGCACAGCCTAGTCCACGATGATGTTCTGCCGCCGCTCGGAGCCAACGGTAGCTGGGTTCCCACTCCAAGATCTCCCGCGCAGCTCGCGTTCGCGCTGCCGAAGGCATCGCCGCCGAGGATGGTATCTTTGGACCTCCCCATCTCGACCATGTAAAGAAGGAGGCTCTGGCGAACCCATAAAACGGGAGATGGAAGACATGCGACGTGAGGACCGCTTCGTCGTGCTCAATATGGGGAGAGAGAGGTAGACATTGAGCTACATATGTCATGACATTTCCCGCTCCCGATGTATACAGCAGAGATGAGATCGAGGTCGGGGAGTGAGTGAACGCCAGGGTGCTGCCTCGCGTTTGCCATTTCAAACTCGGGCCTTTCCACGAGGCCTTCTCCGCATCGGGACTTATCCGCATTCACGCATGCTTGATCGCATCTGCAGCAGAGAACTGTCCGCAACCTGGATCCGATACCTCTAATCGCTCTCGATATCGTCGGATCAGTTCTGGCGTGATGGGTCCTGCTAGCGGCAACAGCTGGTGCTTCGAGAGTTTCAGGCACAAGTTGGCGAGCCTCCGCGCGTTGTCGAAGATGCTTTGACCTTCGGTGAGACATCTAGCGGGATCATCACGGAGCGCAAATCATTAGCGCACGCTCTACCTCGTCCTCGATACTTTCGTTCTACTGTGCTCAAGAAGTCTCGGGGGGGGGGGGGGGGGGGCGGCTCGAGGGCCGCAGCGAAGTAGTTTCCGCTTCCTGGGCGCCCCTGGATGATGCCGACCAGGACCTGGAAGAGGTATCTGAGTTCGCCTCCGAATTTAGCGAAGCAGTGGGCATCGCAGTAGATGCCATGTGCGAGCCAAAGCAGAGGCCCAGGAATCATCGTAGCTTCTAGGGCGAGAAAGAGCCAGGCCCGGGCCAGCGATGGGACAGCTTGGGCAGAGTCGCGCGCCAAGAGGGCGGGCATGCGAGACGAGGCACAAGGCTGCATGGACATGATTCGGGACTCCGTGTCCGTCTCTGCAATGTTCGTGCCGAACTGCCTGCCTGATGTAAAACCGCGGTGGCTGAAATGGCCATCCTTGACCCAGCGGGCACTTTATGCGAGGGCGCAGACGGCGGTGATGAGTTTCACGTCGCAGTTTTTGACCCCAGGGGCCGAAGTTCAGAACCCCCCCGAGTGGCGCCCACGGCGTCGTTCCCCCCCCCCCCCCTTTCGGCATGCAAGCGCCTCGCGTGTAGGTGAAGTCCATCGGCGTAGACTTCCATTTCAAAATCCAAATCACCACCTCCTCTGAAATGTCTGCCGCCATCGGTGCATGCTCCCGCGCGGCGTGGGGCAACGTGCTGGGGCCTGGTTCGTAATCGCGAAATCGAAAGATCTGCTTCTTGATCGCGCGACGATTTGGAGGCGGGAGGTCAAAGATATTCAGTTCGTCAGCGAACTTGGCTATGTAGGCCTTCGCCGGGGCCGCGAATATTGTTCGGGGTCAAAAACTGGGCCCCAGTAGGCCGACATGGAGGCGGATATCTCGTCGGCATCAGTGAGCGCACCCGTCGCGCGTCGGATACCTCGAAGCACTGGGTGGCGACCGAATTGTGCCCGCAGTTCGCCTCGCTGCTGTAGTCGCTGCTGCTGCTGCTGCTGCTTCAACTTCTTCCTGCTCCTCTGCTGGTTCGTTTCCTGGATGCTCGCCTCCAGCTGTTGCTGCTGCTCCTCGAGATCCACCCGAATCAGTCCATCGATCGCAGTCGTGTACTCTGCTGGGCGAAGGTGCCAAGCGTGCCCCATCCAGCAGCTTGTTACCAAGGTGCTCTCGAGCGAAGGCTTGCGCGCGCAGGGGGATGGCGGCGAGGTGCGCGTCCTGCCGCCGAACTCCACGACCCGCCGAACGCAGGGTCGTGATCTGGGCATGCTTGGAACCGGCCTCGTCCTGTACATGTTGTCGAGTAATTCGAGCGGCATCTCGCATTAGGTTGTAGCATATCAGTTTCAGCGGTGGGGTCGTATCCGTCCAACAGGTCGCTTCGAGGTACTTGCGCATCATTTTTCCTCTCTCCTTCTTTTCCGAAGAACGGCGATATGGATGTATAACGAGGGGTCGATCCGTCATCGATCGGCGGAGGTTTGGCGGGGCTGAGCGTGACGAGAATCGGAGCGTGGTCAGACAAGTTCTTGTGACCACTTATCTCTATTTTTTTACTACTGCCAGTCGCTGACATCTGCGCCAGGGCCCGTCCAGGGCCCGTAGTGAACACCCTATCTTTGTTGCTAGTGTGTTCGTCGGAGCAGCGGGTCGGGTCGGACTGCTCGACCTCGACCAACTGCGAGAGGACCTGGGGACAAGTCGGATGACGAGCGCCTCTCCGAGACGCGTATCCGTCGTCAACTGACGCGGCGACCGCCGGGGCCAAGGGCTAGGGGGGCAGGCTGCGACGTTGAAATCTCCCACCGCCATCGCGAGCCTCTGAGCAGGAGCCTGTGCAGCAAGTGCCTTGTGCTGAAGGGTCTGTGAGCTCATCGCATGTGTACCGGCTCGGCTGAGCCCTTAATTGTGGATGTTACAAAACATGATCCAGGGAGCTATACGTAATGGGCAGGTGCGTTCCTATTGTGTCTGGCTCAAGGGAAAACATGATGCCCCCCTTCCTGCTGCCGCGCGGGAATCTCAGTCCCCCCCAAATTAGACCAAGATAGCCAGAGCCCTTTCCTTGGCGATCTCTGTGCGTAGCATAAGAGCGTACTCCCGGGGCATCTTCGGGGCCGGCGCGAGGGCGCCGCCCGCGTTAGCCCAAGAACAAAAGGAAGTGAACGCGACGTCTTTGTGGAAGAAATGGATCGTGTCCTCTGCGTCGGACCTAATTCCGTGGGTCTCCTGAACTGCAGCAAAACTGGACTAGTTCACCAGGGAGTTTAAGTGCGCATACCTGTTGTCCCGGTGTGGATAGTCATGATGAAATAGGGCCCGAGCGTTCCAGCTGACAAACATGATGGAGTCCCTGGATCCACTGGAGCCTGATCAGAAACTGAAGAGCCTTCGCTGCAAAGAGAGCCTTGGCGGAGCCCTCGCGCGCGCGCCTGTCGATGTCCAGCGCCGCCGTGTCCGACGTGGCCCACTCGAGGGTCGGGGGCTCGTCGAAGCCCGTCGCCGTGAACTTGAGAATAGCCCTCCAGGAGAGACTGAGTTCCGCGCGTTGGCGGGCGACGTAGAAGCGCTTCCCCAGGAACAGCTCCTCCATCTTCTTACTATTGAGTTTGAGCCCGAGCTCCGTCTGCGCCTGCTTTTGACGCTTGTCCGTTGAGATGAAGAGCTCAGTACGTGTAGCATCTGGCGCCTCGCAATAAATGCGTCTCCAGTCCGCCCCACTAGCCAGTCGCATCCCTGACATCGCCTGGTTGACCTTACGAGCTGCGTAGCTTGCATTGCCACGGAAGGAGAGCTTGTGCAACTTCGACACACGGTCTCCTTTGATCGTGAACTCGATGATGTCGGTCCTCGCTCGCATCCTGCAGCCATGGTTGGATCGCCGCTGCCACGTGAGAACGAGCCACCAGCACCCTGGACTTGATCGTGGTGATCGTTGAGTCGACCTCCCTGTCGATACCGTAAAGACTGTTAGCCTGCACCTTCGGCTCCTCATCCAGGATGAAACCCAACGTCGTCCGAAGTCCAACCACTTCCTGCTCCAACTTCTGCAAGCGTTTGTCATGTGCGGAGATGCGTCCTTCTGCCACGGCCATCCGCTGCTCCACCTGCTTGGCCATGCCCTCGAGGTGCGTCTGCACGGTCGTGGCCATCTTGTTGAGATTCTGCTTCGCGGTCTTGATCTGCTGCATGAAAGACTCGCGAATCTGCTCCACGGTGTCCGTGATCAACTGGTAGTCGTCAGGCACATGTCGACCAGCATCACGGGTGTCTGCATGTTGACCTGCTCGACCGTCGGCCTCAATTGTCCGCGGGGTCTGCGCCAGGGGTTCTCCTGATTCTTGGTTCCGGTGAGCCATCGCGCCGCTGTGCGGGTACAGCACCCAACCTCTGCCAAAATGGACGATGAGGCGCACGAGGCAATGAAGAGCAACAAGAATCTGATCCTGCAGGTGCAACGGAAGGGTTGATGCTCAGGCGCGATCTTGAGAGACGGCAGCGGATTGCCGAAGCCAGCCGCTGATTCTCGGGCTTCTATAGCCCTTCACAACTTTTAGCCTCGAGCCAACATGGCTACGGACCTCCTCCTCCTCCTCCTCCTCCTCCTCCTCCTCGTCCTCCCTCCCCGTTTGCAATCTGCCGCTGGCCCGAAGCCCGACTCCGGCACGGTGGCCGTCACGGCCGTTGGCACCACCAGCGCCTGCGCGCGTGGGGTTGGGCGGCAGAGCCAGGCGACTGGGGGGGAGGGAGGCGAGATGGGTGGAGGAGGAGGAGGAGGAGGAGGAGGAGGAGGAGGAGGAGGAGGAGGAGGAGAGGAGAGGAGGAGGAGGAGGAGGGAGGAGAGGAGGAGGAGGAGGAGGAGGAGGAGGAGAGGAGGAGGGAGGAGGAGGAGGAGGAGGGAGGAGGGGAGGGGAGGAGGAGAGAGGGAGGAGGAGGGAGGAGGAGGAGGAGGAGGAGGGAGGAGGAGGAGGAGAGGAGAAGGAGGAGGAGGAGGAGGAAGAGGGAGGGGAGGAGAGAGGAGGAGGAGGGGAGGAGGAGGAGGAGGGGAAGAGGAGGGAGGGGGAGGAGGAAGGAGGAGGAGGAGGGTGGAGGAGGAGGAGAGAGGAGGGAGGAAGAGGAGGAGGAGAGAGGAGGAGAGAGGAGGAGGAGGAGGAGAGGAGGAGGAGGAGGAAGGGGCTTGAGCAGGAGGAGGAGGGAGAGGAGGAGGAGGAGGAGGAGGAGAGGAGAGGATGGAGGGAGCGGAGAGAGAGGAGGAGGGGGAGCGGAGGAGGAGGAGGAGGAGGAGGATGCTGCTGATGATGAGGAGGATGATGATGCCGATGAGGAGAAAGTTGTCCCTTCCTCTGCTAAGCTGGAACGCTCGGGCCCCTCGAACACGGATTGAATGCACGCTCGCACTGTTGGCAGCGTCGCCGTCTGGACCCCCTGATCGGTTTCCAATGGCCTGTAGGCGTACAGGCGCCCTGCCGCCAGTATACAAGAGCAAGCGGACTTCGGCCCAGTGCGGCTTGCGGGGGCTGTGCATCGGGGAAGCCTCCAACCCAGGCCCACCAAGCCAGGTCAACACCGAGCCAAACAATGAATGCTCGGGCCCGGTCGCGGCACACAGACCTCCGGCAAGGACAGCATTCCCACCCTGCCGTTAGGTCGGGCATCTCCTTCTAGAGCGGATTGTGGACGAACAAATATAAATAGCGAAAGCATACTTAAACATAGTCAAGAGAGCATGACAAATCGTCCCCAGACTATTCTTTGACTGTTCTTGCATCTTCCTCCTGTAGAGGGACATGCCCGACTTAACCCTGTCCGCTTTCCAGGAGGCTCTTGTGCTCAGCGGGGGACACCGAGGGGCTGCCAGGAGTCGAGAGCGAGGGCGCAGATAACATTGACTTCGCTCATGGCCCATGAACGAAGGTCATTATCTGCGCCTTCGCTCTCTCCCGACTTGGAGATGAGCTGTCTCGGGAAACCGTGCGTGGCAAGCGAGCGCAGGCGCCGCTTCCGCGTGCGGCTTCCTGAGCCCGTGGACCCTCCTCCGCCCGTCCAGGAGGCTCGAGATCCAGATGGACCTTTTTTTAGGATGGGCTTTTCTGCGAAAGTTGGACTGGTGGGGCCACGTGGCGGCCCGGGACCTGGAGTGGGTCCCAAGGATTGCCCACATACCAGGAGGCTTGAGATCCAGATGGCTTGAGATCCAGATGGCGCTCTTGAGGGTGGGCTTTTCTGCGAAGTCTGGACTGGTGGGGCCACGTGGCGGCCCGGGACCTGGAGTGGGTCCCAAGGATTGCCCACATGCCCGAGTCTCTCCTCTGTGCTTGCGGCGAGGCCCGGGCGGCAACGCAGGGTGGCGTTGCAGCAGTGTGATTCTCCGTGTCTAGGCGACTTGTCTTTGGAAACTTTTGGACTATATGGGTCGTTTCCTTTTCGCTCGCACCCCGTCGCGCAGACGAGAATCGAGCGCATCATTTCCCACCGTCTGCAATTATTCTGAAAAAGCTCGTGCCGACAACTGCTGAGCATGTCCCGGCAACGTGGCCGAGAGACCCGGTGCTCTGCATCAGCGGGGACCTCGGACGGAGAGATTCGTAGGATTGAGTCGTTGCTGCGGCTGGCGAGTTTTCGAAGGCGACTGCCTCGCTAGCAGGGAGGTCAGAGATGGAGGCTCTCCCGGGCACCTTCGAGAAGCTGGAGGCGCCCTGTGACCCTGATGTTTCGAGACTGGCAGCGGTTCCGTCTGAGGACATGGAGGTGGAAGCGCCAGCAACACGAGGCCCGCCATCGAACGGGAAGTCGCTGCATATACCCCTCGCTTTCCAAAGCTTGCTGGGGCGGGCCTTTTGAATCTCGATATGAGCGTTGGGGAGCATTGCGGCCCCGCAGGTCTGCAGGCAGCCAGCGTCGTCCTCGACAGGGTTTGGTTCGGGGAGGTGCCAGAGGACATTCTCAACGCTTATCTTGGAGGCCGCTTGATGGCTTTGAAGCAGGCCGATGGTGATGGTAGACCGCTCTCCAGTGGCAACATTCTGCGTCGACTCATCGCCCGAACAGTGTGCAAGGCGGAAGCCGATGCTCTTCGCGAGCTGGGGGGGCCACACCAATACGGCAAATCCAGGCATGCGGCAAACGAGGTGATGCAATAAATCCTCGTCGCGTCTGCTGATGCATCTTCTGCTGCTGCGTTCTTGTCTTTTGATTGCAAAACTGGATTCAAAATATGATCACGCGGCCGGATACATGGAAAACGTGTGCGGGGACTATATTGGGCCGTGTCGCCGACACTTGGTGCCGAGGTTCGTCGACGCAGTTGCCCTGGGATTCTTTTGGAAAAGCTTGGTCAGTACGCTCTGCCCAGGGCTTCGACCATGGGTTCCCGGTGAGTCCAAGATTGCTCTGCGCGGCTCTTGCCCCAGCTTTGGCAGACATCGATCAAAAGATCCATGCCCTGGATCCCCAGGCGCGGGCTCACGCTGATCTAGACGATCTTGTCGTTGTCATCGATCCGCGTCTTGCTGCACAAGCCGTCTCGGGGACGAGGAAGGTCTTGCATGGCATCGGGTTGGAGCTGCCGCCTGCGAAATCCGAGCTGCGGTGCCCGACCCCGCTGCTTTCCGATGCCAGTGCACGTCGCCGCCCAGAGGGCCAACGAACTGCGGTGCCTCGAGAGCGCGATGCACTTCTACACGGCGACCCTCGGCGAAGATGATCAGCGCCGCCTAGAAGCCCCAATCACCTCGGACATCTTGAGGCATCGCTGGATGCGTTAGACACAATTCTTCGGAGGGCACAGGCGTTTCTCGCCAAAGGGCTGCGTGTTCGGACCACCTTCGTTCTGATCCGTACATTCGTGGGCGGAGACAAGAGCCACACACTCAGGGGAAGCTTTGTGGAGGAAGCCTGGTGCGTGGGTTACGACCGCGGAGTGGTTGCCTTCCTTGAGCTGGTGCGGCGCCCAACTCACCCGTTGACAGAAACAACAGCTGTGGCTGCTATGCAAAGGCGGGGACTGAGGGCTCCATTCCGCTCGATTGACCTGGAAGACTGCATATACCGCCTCCTGGCAACACTGCCTCTCGGAGGTCGCCACAGCGCGTCGCATTCCGCTGACGCCCTTATGGCCCGAGCGCCGCGAACCGGTGTTGTCATAACGGTCGCAGGAAGTGAGCTCCGGAGTCTTGGATATCAGAATTATCAAGTCGATTGTGGCGCGTGCTTCGCTTCGTTTCCAACCAGGCGAAGCAGCATAAGGCTCTAATAAAGCGTATCAACACGAAGTGGGTAGACTCTGCCTCAAGACCTTGACGGCGCAGGTCAAGCCGATCTCCAGTCAACGGGTGGCAAGTGTGGCGCTTTCCTGCTGCCGCCCACCGAAAAGAGCCGCCTTTCCGTTGGCGGTGCCCATATGCGGCTGCAGCTCTTGCACGCTGGCGCTTCGGGCGCCCGCCCGCCCGACATCACGTGCGGGCATCCCTCGTCCCAATCGGGGCAACGGTGCATTGGCTGCGTAGACGACCGTGGGCATCACTTTCTGACGTGCGTGGCGTCGCCCAGAGGCATGACAGGATTCGAGAGTGGTGGGCGGCGTGGATCGCTGCCATCACAGGCGCGCCAGTGTCAACAGAGCAAGTCGTGCCGAAGTGGGACCGCACGGTGGAGGTGGACGGGGAGGAAATGGCTGAACGTGCGCGCTTGGACCTTTTTTACTTTTTTCGACGACCAGAATGCCCAGTGAGCTTTCCGCCGCCTGCCCCTGTGGCGAGTAGTGCATTACGGACGACCTCTGGCCAGGCCAAGAGACCTGGGGGTCTGACCAATTGCGCGTTCGGCGTCGTGCGTGCAAGAGGCGATGGACATGATGGAGAGTGAGAGACTGTCGCAGGTGGGTCAGCGAGCACAACGCGATAGCAAGGCGTTCGAAGATGGGGGTGCGGAGGTTGGAGCGGGAGACCATGGCAATGTTCCAAACGAAACGTCGGCACGTGACTCAGTGGGATAGGCAATCTCAGCCAACTTTCACTGCCAAGCAGGCAACCCGTGTCGTCATCTCTTGAACGTGTCTCCCCCGCTCCCTCCTCGCCCTCCTCCCTCCTCCTCCTCCCCCTCCTCCCTCCCCCTCCCCCTCCTGCATTCCCTTTCCTTATACATAACTCCTCCCTGTCGCACCCCGTGGCCGGTCGAAAGGGCGAGCTGGCCGTTTCGCTTGAGCCTTCCTCACCATTTCTGATCCTGACGCTTGACATTTACAACAGTTCCAGACATGGAGGGCGGCCCATTTTCAAATTGTGGCTTTCGCCCTAGCGCCGCGCACATTCGTCTTAAACGTTTGCAGCAATTTCATGGATGGAGGGCGGGCCGTTTTCAAAATGTGGCTCTAGCCTTAGCGCCGCGCACACGCGTCTTACGTAAACGGTTGCAGCAGTTTCACGGATGGAGGGCGGTTCCTTTTCATAATGTGGCTCTCGCCTTAGCGCCGCGCACATTCGTCGTCAAAGTTCACAACAGTGTCAAGGCTTCTCATTGCTAATATCACGAACAAGTGTTTTGGCACGAGGTCGGACCGTCACGGCGCAACAGCTACGTGGATTCGTGGTGTCGAAGTCCCAGACATGGTGTCCTGGCAGGATTCAGGATCGTCAACACGTAACAATAACTGTGATTCGCGGCGTTGCCGTCTCAGGGATGGTGTCATGGCCCAGGTGCGGAATTTCCAAACGGTTGCCTTCCAATGTGGCCCTTCCCTCCGTGAAAATTAATCCTTGTTGGGGCCCATGAAGAGGGAACTTGGAGGCAGGGTTTTGCAATATCGTTGATGGATCTCGGGTTTGCACTTGTCCCCCCTCTCCTCCTCCTCCCTATGCTCATCCCCCTCCTCCTTCCGCTCCTCCCCCTCCTCCTCCTCCTCCTCTTCCTCCCTCCGCTTCTCCCCCTCCTCCTCCTCCTCCTCCTCCTCCTCCTCCTCCTCCTCCTCCTCCTCCTCCTCCTCGTCACTCCTCCTCCCTCTCCTCCTCCTCCCCCTCCTCCTCCGCCCCCTCGTCCTCCTGCTCCTTCTCCTCCTCCTCCTCCTCCTCCTTTTCCTCCTCCTCCTCCTCCTCCTCCTCCTCCCCTCCTACCTCCTCCTCCTCCTCCCTCCCTCCTCTCCTCCTCCTCCTCCTCCCCCTCCTCCTCCTCCTCCTCCTCCTCCTCCTCCCCCTCTCCTCCTCCTCATCCTCCTCCCCCTCCTCCTCCTCCTCCTCCTCCTCCCCTCCCCTCCTCCCTCCCTCCCCTCCTCCGCCTCCTCCTCCTCCGTCTCCGCCTCCTCCTCCTCCTCGCCTCCTCGCTCCTCCTCCTCCTCCTCTTCCACTTTCTCTTTCTTCCTCCCCTCCTCCCTCCTCCTCCTCCTCCTCCTCCTCATCCTCCTCCTCCCTCCTCCTCTTCCTCTCCACGGCCTCGCGGCCGCCGCCTTGGGCCCCCGAGCAGGCAGCACACAGAGACCCGAATATCCCATGTATCGAACAAATCAAGACGAAGGTTTTTCGATATTATCGGCCTCACCCCCTTCCCCTCTGTGAGCAAAACTCAAGGCCGATGTTTTCGGCCTCTAGAGACCCTTGCTTGGCCCGGGACTGGCAAACAACGGCTCAAGATGAGAAGCTGGTCCCAAGGAGTGGGTCGAGACTTCCAGGGACCCCGCATTGAAAAAGAACAAGGCATCGGATCTCTGGGGAATGACGCTGGGCAAGCCCCGACCCCTCCAGACAGAACCGTTGGTGAGGCTTCGGGTTGCTCGCAGACGCCCCCCCAGAGAAGGCCTCAATAGGCCCCCAAGTGAATAGTCTGAGGCGGTCGCAACAGCTCCGCCCTGGGGCGCGGACCGCCCCAGCAACCCGACGCCTCACCTCTTCAGAAATCGAATCGCGCCCCCTGCGCTTTTCAGATTCTCGTTTTCTTGGTGGCGGGGCGTGGTTTGCTTGCTGCTGGTGTTAGCGCGGTATACCCGCTCTGCTCTCCCTCGGCACCGCTTCTCCCTATGGGGCCACGAAGCGCTGTACTGGGTGGGGCGGGACGCCTGCGGGCAGTAGCGTTGGGACCTTCGGTGTGGCTTCCTAGGGGACCACGAAGCGCTGGGGACGCATGCGGGCGGTGACGCTGGGGCCGTCGTTGGAGCTCCCCATGGGGCCACGAAGCGCTGTGCTGGGTAGGGGGGACGAATTGCGGGCGGTAGCACTGGGGCCGTCCGTGGAGCTCCACTATGGGGCCACGAAGCGTGTGAGGGGTGTGCCGAAATGGTAGACTGATGCGGGGAGCAGCGTCAGGGATGGGAGGAGGGAGGGGAAGGAGGAGGAGGAGAGGAGGAACGGAGGAGAACGCGGCGCGCACTCTTCAAAACGAGGACCCAACACCTCAGGCTGGTTGGGAACAACAATTCAGAACATTTCTATCATCATTGTTTTTTTCTGCCCCCCTCCTTCCCCGCCGAGCACCGCCATCATCAGTCAGGTCTGGACTGGGAAGGGCTCACACTGAAGGGAAGACCACCACCGTGCGACGAGAACAAAGGGGAACGAGAAAGGGAGAGAGAAAGGAGAGGGAGAGAGGAAGGGCGAGACGAAGGAGAGATGGGAGCACGAAAAGAAACATGGCGGAGGATGGGATGGTGAGTTTCGCAGGGGGGGCGTTTCGACTTCTAAATCAGCCTACCCCCCCGTGGTGAACAACAAAAATCACGACTGAAGGTTTTCGGTAATTTTCGGCCTCCGGTGGCCCTTGCCGAGCCCCAGGGCTACCACAACTCGGGATGGAAAGCCAGTCCCTGGGAAAAGGGTCCAGACCTCTGGGAAACCAACTTGTGAATAACACAGACGTCGGACGTTTGGGACAGTAACTTTTTGTTGCGCAGCTTTCCGATCCTTGCGTGCGGTGCGACAATGGCGTCCTGCGTGCTCGGGTTCGCCCCGCTCCCTTCCCCCAGGGTCTCCAACCAAAGCCGCGCGCCAGAGGTCACTCTGATCTGGTCCTCCTCCTCCTCCTCCTCCTCCTCCTCCTCCTCCTCCTCCTCCTCCTCCTCCTCCTCCTCCCCCTCCTCGTCCTTCTTCTTCGCCTTCTCCCTCCTCCGCCCCGTCCTACCCATTCATAATTGTCGTCATCGTCGCCCTCGTCCTCCCCCCGTCCTCCCCCGCCCCTCTGCCCTGCGTCGGGGGAGCATCGAAGCCTCGGCACCGCTTGGCCTCCTTTGCGTTCAGCGCGTTTCGATTGTGCGCCCCCGCCTTTCGTCCAGGATGCCGCCCGATCTCTACGTGCGCATCCTGGTCCTGTGGGCCTCTTGCTCCTTCTGCCGTGGACGAGTGGTCAATCACTGCAGCATCCCATCCAGGGGCCAGTCATGGTCTGATTCGGCACCCGACCCTGCGAACGAAGCGGGATTCAATGCAAATGGAAAGCTGTGGTGCGAGCGCGCTGAATTGGCTCGCCCCCCCCCTTCCTCTCCCCTCCCCCTCTCCGCCCTCCCAGCCGTTCACGAGCGCGGCCCGTTCCCCACTTACCTCCTCACAATCTCCCCCCCGGGCGCCTCCCCAGACGCCGTCCCGACATGTGCTGTGTCTGACCGTAGCCGCGATGTGCCCCCGAGAGGACCAAAGAAAGAAACCAGGGTCAAACTCATTCCTGTCTCTTCTCTCTCAGATAACTCCTGCCCGTCGCACCCCGAGGCTGGTCGAAAATGCAGGCCCGGCGTTTCGCCTGAGACATCCCCACGATTTATGATCTTGAAGCTCAGGCATCTGCAACAGCTTCACGGACAGAGGGCGGCCCATTCTTGTAAATGTGGCTCTTAGCGCCGCGCGCATTCGTCTTAAGACATACAAGAATTTTCGCGCAATGACGACGGCCCGTATCCAACATGTGGCTCTCGCCTTAGCGCCGCGCACATTCTTCGTAAACGTTTGCAAGAAGTTTACGGATGGAGAGCGGACCGTTTTTCGAATGTGGCTATCGCCTTGGCTCGGCGCACATTCGTCCTAACATGTTGCAGTTGTTTCACGGATGTGGGGCGGCCCGTTTCAAAACGTGGCTCTCGCATGCGTGCCGCGCACATTCATCTTTAAACTTTGCAAGAGCTCCACGGATGGAGGGTGCTTCCTTTCAAACTGTGGCTCTCGCCATAGTGCCGCGAACATTCGTCTTGAGAGTTCGCGGCATTGTTTAAATCTATTCGCATGGTTTACGTCCCAGAAGCGGTGTTCTGGCACAGTTCAGAAGTTTCAAAGGGTTGTCTTCTAAAAGGGTGCTTCCCTCCCGTGTCGAGGCCTACGAACAGGGAGCTTTGAGGGAGGGTTTGTTGCAATATCGTTATGGGTCTTGGGTTTACACTGGTCCTCCTCTGCCTCTTCGTCCTCCTCCTCCCGCTCCAGGGACCTGTGCAGAGGGAATCTGGAGGGAGGGTTTCTTGCAACATCGTTGATCCTCCTCCTCCTTCCCCTCCCCCCCTCCTCCCTCGTACCTCTGACGTGGTGGTTTCCTACAGAATCGGGGTCCCCAGAAGTCCCGACCCATTCCCTAAGGCCGCCTCTTGATCAATTTTGTTTTTTGGGGGGACTTGTCATCCAAGGACCCAGAAGCGGCCACGGGTCTCGGAGAATAGCCCAAAGCCAGGACTACCTGAAAGACGCCGAAGGTCCTGGCTCGCGGGTCAAATATTTGCCCCTGGACCCGTCAGGCGGTGCGACCCGGCCAGAACTTCGAGGCTGACCCAGCCAAACCCAGACATGCGATGGCTTGTTTTTTTCGCTGCGGGGTCCCCCGAAGCCCCGACCCTTTCCCCCAGGCCAGTTTTTCATCCCGAGTCGTTATGTTGACGGTCCGGGAGCCCAGCGAAGGCCACAAAAGGTCGAAAGCTGCCACAAACCTCCCGTCGTGGTTGATTCGCGAGCAGGCCGGCTTTCGGGCCATTACTCGGGCCTCTGGCGGCCGATGGGACCGATTCTGGCACCCCCGGAACGCCATCGATGAGGCGCAGCTGCTGGAGAGTATCCTGAGGCGAAAAAACCCTGCAGGAACGGATGGAAAACTCAAAAACAAAATGTTCACGACGCCCTCCTCCCCCCCCCCTTCTCGGCGCTCCCGCCAGGCTCCCTCGGCCGCCGAGATCGCCAAGCCGCCGACGGCCGCTGCCCTCCCGGCCTCTGCCCGGCAGCCCCGTCGAGCCGCGGCGCCGCCCGGCGATGGGGCGTCGCCTGGGGGGCTGTCCTGCGCCGCGGCGGCGCGGCGCGGTGAGCGGGGGTCACGGGGAAGACGGGCTCCCGCCGTCGTCGTCGTCGTCGTCGTCCACCTGAGCTCGGAGGGAAGGTGTGTTGCGACATCGTTGATGATTCTTGGGTTTGCACTGGGCCTCCTCCTCCCTCCTCCTACTCCTCCTCCTCCTTCTCCTCCTCCTCCTCCACCTTCTTCTCCTCCTCCTCCTCCTCCTCCTCCTCCTCCTCCTCCTCCTCCTCCTCCTCCTCCTCCTCCTCCCTCTTCCCCGAGGGCAGGCCGGAGGCAGGAAGGGGCCCCGAGGGACGAGGAGGGCCTCCAGGTCCACCACCTCGGGCCCGCGCCGCCGCGCGGGCCCAAGCGCCGCCAGCGTCGGCGCGGGGCCTGCCGCGGCTCGGGCGGGCGTGCGCTCGGACGTCGTCGTCGTCGTCGTCGTCGTCGTCGTCGTCGTCGTCGTCGAGGCCGTCGTCGTCGAGGCCATTGTCGTCGTCGTCGTCGTCGTCGTCGTCGTCGTCGTCGTCGTCGTCGTCGAGGCATCGTCGTCGTCGGTTGCGGCCGTCGTCGTCGAGGCCTTCGTCGTAGGAGGATGAGGGGCAGAAGGGGAGGTCAAAGGAGAGAAGGATGTAGCAGAGTAAACTCCAGATGCGTCAATAAATCCGCGCGGATTGTCGAACATTTCTGCTTACGCATTTTTTCTTCTGAGATCGTTGCTTGCTACATTTGGAACGACGGGATCGTGTGGTAACGTTCCTGACGCGCACCTTGTGGATCGTTCAACCTTGAACGGTCGCGGCTTTCCGACAACGCAGGGATTTCCGATGCCGGCGGACTCTGTGCCGCTGGCGGCGTTCAGCCTTGAATGCCCGCGCTGGCGTAGCCGTCGCGCCGACACGACTCGGGAGGGGAAAACACATACAGACACTATTGAATGTCGACTTCCAAGAACACGTGGGAACATATATGAAATGGGGGTAAGACGAAAGTCAAAACAATATATGGGAAAGCATGGGCAATCCTGGGACTTGTTTGTACTTGTTTGTGTGTTCCTGGGCCCCCTCAACGATACGAGCCTGCCGCGGCTCGTCGCTCGCTGTTTTCGGGCCGCGATGGCCGCGACGGCCGAGCTGCAGGGGCGGGCGCCGCTGAGGCCGGGGCGCGGGATCTGCGGGTCCGGGCCCCAGGCGCCGCCGGCTGCTCCTGCCCCGCGCCCCTCCTTTCTTGAACAGGGGGGGGAGGAAGGGATCCTCCTCCTCCTCCTCCTCCTCCCACCGCTTCCTCCCAATTCCTCCTCCTTCTCGTCCCACCTCCTCCTCCCGCCTCCTCATCCACCTTCTCCTGATCCTCCCCGTCTCACTCCGCCAGCTTCTCTACTGAGCGGAAGGGGACTTCACCATGCAGAGGGCCAGCCTGGGAGGGGATGAGGAGGACCAGCGGGGAGAAGGGAAGGTGTCAGCCCACGGCAGCTTCTGTGCCCCCGGGGCCCCTCGGGATCGCTGCTTCCTGTACTTCGGACCAGTCGAGAGACGGTTCTGATGCTGGGCTGCAGGACTACACAGGAGGAGGAGGAGGAGGAGGAGGAGGAGGAGGAGGAGGAGGAGGAGGACGAGGAGGAGGAGGAGGAGGAGGAGGAGGAGGAGGAGGAGGAGGGGACGAGGAGGAGGAGGAGCAGGGGACGAGGAGGAGGGGACGAGGACGAGAAAGAGGAGGAGGAGGAGGAGGAGAAGGAGGAGGAGAAAGAGGAGGAGGGAGGAGAAAGGCCTCCTCCTCTTCCTCCTCCTCCTCCTCCTCCTTCTCCTCCTTTGTGATATTGGGAAGCAGCGGAACTTAGGGCGAAGGTGCTGCTTGTTTTTGTGACGAGAGCGCCCCGCTGTCCATAAGCGTTCGCAGTCCGTGTGGTAGAGGCGGGATCTCCGTCAGACTGGTTTCCGTGGAAGCACAGAGAAGATGGAAGCACGGACCTGCGCTCTTAGCGCGCAGGTCTTTGAAGGGACAACTGGCTGGTGCGGAGCCACACTCGGCCACCGAGATCCGAGCTGCAGGAATCCTGCCCCTGCGATCCTCTGGGCATGCATAACGAAGATACTTGAAATATCTCGCAAACGAGCTTGAAACCTATGAGCAAACCGTTGTTATTAGTATTTCCAATGTAGCTTTTTTGGTGGGGCGGGGGGAGCACGAAACTTCGAAGAGAGAGGGGGTCAGGGCAGGATCATACTCCATTCCCTTACCTGGTAAAGGGGGTACTATGTAGATGCGTACTTATGTATGTATGCATGTATGCATGACTGCATGTATGTATGTATGTATGCATGCATGCATGCATGCATGTATGTGTACATGTGAGCGTACACGCACGGCTCATGCCTGTACACACATACTTACATGTGTGTGTGTAAATATGTGTGTTAACGGTGCAAACATGTGCGCAATTATGAATGCACGTATACATGGATGCATGCATGCATGTATGTCTGCCTGTCTGTCTGTCTGTCTGTATACATGCATGTATGTATGCATGCATGCATGTATGCATATAGGTGTACAAATTTAGATGTAGGTATATGTGCATAGTTGCTTGTATGCATGTATGCATGCATGTATGCATGCACTTATGTACGTATGCACGCATGCTTGCAGGTATGCATGTAGCCTTGTATGTATGCGTTATGCATTCACGTATGCAAGTATGTATGTATGCACGAATGTATGATTTACATGCGCGTATGCACGTATTTAGGTGCATGTACGTATGTATGCATGTGCGTACGTACGTATGTAAACAGATACTCCCAGTCGTACGTACACATCTACATATACACATACACATATACACTATACATCTATACAATTGTATATCTATAAATGCATACATACATACATACATACATACATACATACATACACACATACATACATAAATAAATAAATACATACATACATACATACTTACATTCATATTCAGACATTCATACATTCATACATGCATGCATGCATACATATATACACACACGATCGGGAGCCTTTGCTTGGCGTGGTCGTCGGCGGCCCCAGCGCTGCGCCTATGCCCTGCAAAAACGGACAGCCTGTCGCTCCGCTTCGCGGGGGCGGGGAGGTCGGGAAGGGCTTTGGGACGTCGACGGTCGGAGACCAAGACGGGGTCAGCACGTCGCACTGAAGAGCGGCCGGCCAGAACTGGCGGCGCGAAACGCCTCCTCGCCGTCCTCCTCTTCTTCTTCTTCCTCCTCCTCGTCCTCGTCCTCGTCCTCTTCCTCCTCGTCGCCGTCCTTGGCCCGTCCTCGTCCTCCGCCTTCTCCTGCTCCTCCGCCTCCTCCTGTTCCTCCTCCTCTTCCTCCCAAACGTACACGTGTATATCTCTCTCTATATATATACACATATCTAAATATACATATACAGATGAACTTTTCAGCCCAGTAGCGCACGGCGAAACGCCAAGTCTAAAAATCACAGACTTTGACTTGTCGCCTTGGATGCAAATTTGCGAGTGGGACGAAACATCGGGAGTGATCCAGAGAGCTCTTTTGATCTAGCTGGGCTTTCAATTCCGCGCGTGGGGTGAGAGCGGTTTGGAGAGGTCCTGGGAGGGTGTGAAACCGACGGCGCCCTCGGCCCGACGAGAAGACAATATGCTGTTGATCTTTGGTTGCGTTTGACTTTTTCACATTGTATTTGTTTGTAATGCAACTTTGCCAGTCTAGCTTAAGCCTTCGATTCCGTGAGTGAGACACGAGTGGTTTGGAGAGGTGCAGGGAGGATGTGAAACCCACGGCGCCCTCAGTCCCCGACCAGAACTCAGTTTCATTTTGCACTGCAGTTTTTTCTGCACTGGACGTGCAGGTCTTTCCTTTTGCAAGGCAGCTGTGCCGCCCTTCTAGCTTCAGCTTTGGATTCGGGAGGCGAGAGCAATTTGGAGAGGTCCGGGGAGGGTGTACAGTGAGAAGTCCACGGCGCCTTAGTCCCGATCAGAAAAAACATATTCTGTTCTTATGAATTTTTCATTACAACTTTGCCTGTCTAGTTGCAGTTATAAAATACCACGAATGAAACGGGAGCAGCTCGGAGAGGTGCAGAGAGGGTGTGAAGGCCACGGCGCCCTCGACCCGACCAGAACAACTTTTTCTTCCCAGCCATCCTGTGGTGTTGGGTCCTCGTTTTGAAGAGACGGTGCCCCGCGTCTCCTCCCGCTGCCCCCTCCTCCTCCCCCTCCTCCCTCCTCCCTGCGTTTCACCCACCCAGTACAGCGTTTCGTGGCCCCATAGGGAGCTCCACCGGCGGCCCCAGTGGCAGGGTTCGCATGGCGGCCCCGCGTTTTGGCGCACCCCTCACGCGGTTCGTGGCCCCATAGGGAGCTCCACCGAAGGCCCCAGTGGCAGGGTTCGCATGGCGGCCCCGCGCCATTTTGGCGCACCCCTCGCACGGTTCGTGGCCCCATAGGGAGCTTCACCGAAGGCCCCAGTGGCAGGGTTCGCATGGCGGCCCCGCGCCATTTTGGCGCACCCCTCACACGGTTCGTGGCCCCATCAGGGAGCTCCACCGAAGGCCACAATGGCAGGGTTGGCATGGCGGCCCCGCGCCATTTTGGCGCCCCCCTCACACGGTTCGGGGCCCCACAAGGAGCTCCACCGAAGGCCCCAGTGGCAGGGTTCGCATGGCGACACCGCGCCATTTTGGCGCACCCCTCACACGGTTCGTGGCCCCATAGGGAGCTCCACCGAAGGCCCCAAAGGCAGGGTTCGCATGGCGGCCCGCGCCAGTTTGGTGCACCCCTCACACGGCTCGTGGCCCCAGAAGGAGCTCCACCGAAGGCCCCCGTGGCAGGGTTCGCATGGCGGCCCCGCGCCATTTTGGCGCACCCCTCACACGGCTCGTGGCCCCATAAGGAGCTCCACCGAAGGCCCCAGTGGCAGGGTTCGCATGGCGGCCCCGCGCCACTTTGGCGCACCCCTCACACGGTTCGTGGCCCCATAAGAGTTCCCCCGAAGGCCCCAGTGGCAGGGTTCGCATGGCGGCCCCGCGCCATTTTGGCGCACCCCTCACACGGTTCGTGGCCCCATAGGGAGCTCCACTGAAGGCCCCAGAGGCAGGGTTCGCATGGCGGCCCCGCGCCAGTTTGGTGCACCCTTCACACGGTTCGTGGCCCCATAGGGAGTTCCACCGAACGCCCCCATGGCAGGGTTCGCATGGCGGCCCCGCGCCAGTTTGGGTGCACCCCTCACACGGTTCGTGGCCCCAGAAGGAGCTCCACCGAAGGCCCCAGTGGCAGGGTTCGCATGGCGGCCCCGCACCATTTTGGCGCACCCCTCACGCGGTTCGTGGCCGCACAGGGAGCTCCACCGAAGGCCCCAGTGGCAGGGTTCGCATGGCGGCCCCGCGCCAGTTTGGTGCACCCCTCACACGGTTCGTGGCCCCATGAGGAATGCCCCTTGCTTCGTCTCACCTGCCCTGCGGTTTTCACACTCGCGTATGGTTGGGTCCTTTGCCTGGATAATTCTTATGTAATGCAGTTTTCGTTGCATTTTGTTCCCAACCATCCTGTGGAGTTGGGTCCTCGTTTTGAAAAGACGGTGCCCCGCGTCTCCTCCCGCTGCCCCCTCCTCCTCCCCCTCCTCCCTCCTCCCTGCATTTCACCCACCCAGTACAGCGTTTCGTGGCCCCATAGGGAGCTCCACCGAAGGCCCCAGTGGCAGGGTTTGCGTGGCGGCCCCGCGTTTTGGCGCTCCCCTCACACGGCTCGTGGCCCCATAGGGAGCTCCACCGAAAGGCCCCGGTGGCAGGGTTCGCATGGCGGCCCCGCACCATTTTGGCGCACCCCTCACGCGGTTCGTGGCCCCATAGGGGGTTCCACCGAACGCCCCAGTGGCAGGGTTCGCATGGCGGCCCCGCGCCATGTCGGCGCACCCCTCACGGTTCGTGGCTCCATAGGGAGCTCTACCGAAGGGACCAGTGGCTGGGTTCGCATGGCGGCCCCGCGCCAGTTTGGTGCATCCCTCACACGGTTCGTGGCCCCATAGGGAGCTCCACTCCACCGAAAGGCCCCAGTGGCAGGGTTCGCACGGCGGCCCCGCGCCATTGTGGCGCACCCCTCGCAAGGTTCTTGGCCCCATATGGGGGCTCCAACGAAGGCTCCAGAGGCAGGGTTCGCATGGCGGCCCCGCGCCACTTTGGTGCACCTCTCACAC